GCGTGACCCGCTTTCCCCGCCTGTCCCGCCTGTACCGACTGTACCAGCTGTACCGACTGTACCAGCAGCACCAGAAAACCACTCGCCACCACAGTGCCTGGTTTCATGACCTCCTGTAGAGCTGCTCTGGTGGTGAATTTCACCATTTCTGTCTGGATAACTCATCGCAGCGTTCCACCCAAGCTCCAATCGTGTCGCCTGACATTAAATCGCGTCATTTCCATTGATTGTGTTTAGCTGCTGCTCTACTCGCGCCTATCGCTCCATAAGTCTCTCTCGTGTTTTTTTTCATCTCTTTTTCCTCTCTCCGTCTTCTGTTCTCTATTATTAGCTGGAAAGAGAAAAGAGAGAAGAGCGAAAGCCAACGATGAGCGAGGGAAGAGGAACGCCATCCGCCTCCACGAAGCCTACACCGTGGAGACGGTGGTGGTGGCCGACTCTGACATGGTTCATTATCACGGCGCTGAGGCCGCCCAGAGGTTCCTGCTCACAGTCATGAACATGGTAAGACCTGTGAGCGTCAGTCAAAAAGTCCTCAGACAGATGTGTTTCTATCTGCAGGTGCCTGATGTCACTGACTAAAACCGGTTCAGACCGGTCTCTGGTGTCGAGCTCTGGCACTTTTGATTGACACAGCTGTTTTTCCTCAAAACTATAACGATTCTTACAGATATTCCATTCCATCGGTCATCCGATATTATCAGAGCAGTTCTAATCCTGTTCTGTTTCATTCAGGTCTACAACATGTTTCTGCACCGGAGCCTAGGAATCAGAATCAACATCCGAGTCACCAAACTGGTGCTACTCCACAGTCGACCGGTAAGCTATGAGTTCTCACCCCAGTGACCCTTGTTAACCTCTGTGATGACCCGAACACCCTGGTAATCAGCAGCTGTGGTCACAGCCACGCACGTGTGTGAGCGAGAACTGGAATCTTCTGTGAGAACAAAATAAATAAATAAAACAACCAAAGACCAAAGTTATTGTTAAATCTCCTCAAAATGTTTGGAAGTAGTTTTAACTAGTTTTTTTTTTTTGGATTATTCAGTAAAAATTGAATAATTTATTGACTTTAAGGCAAAGTGCAAATGTGTGATTAATGGCGGAAAATAATTTAAATCACCACTTAATTATAGAAGTGATTACAAATAATTAAAATAATTGCCTAGCAACAGTTGTCGTCAACATGACATGTTAGCCTGCTGTAGCATTTAAAGTGTTTAAAGTGTTTAACCATTGGTCCAGACCCAGGCTGGCCTTTTGTCTTGCACTAAATCATTGTAAAAGCAGAGTGTTCAAATGACGGTTCAGTGTCACGCAGCAGCTGCCGGTTCTCCGATATATTTCATCCAGACTAAACAAATATAAACGTGATTTTTCTTCTTTTTCTCAACCTCTTCTTCACGTCTTCTCCAGGAGAAGCTCCACGTTGGTCACCATGGAGAACGGTCTCTGGAGAGCTTCTGTCAGTGGCAGTATCAGGAGTTTGGGAGACCAAAGTATCTGGGCAGTAACCACATCCCTGGGGCCAGAGACGACATCCCTCCGGTGGACACAGCCGTCCTGGTCACCAGGTTTGTTTGGTTTTTTAAAGTGATTTCTATCTGGAGTCTGAGACCAAATGGTGTTTGGCTTCATCTTTCACACACATCTTAGAACACACAAGTTCTGCTGCGAGCTCAGCATACTGTATCTACATATATGGTTATATATTTATGTATATAGTTATATTTATATGTATATATATTTCATATATATTTATATATATATATTTATATATTTTATCTTAGTCATACTGTACTGAGTGGCACATATATATATATTTATATACACACATATATATATAAATATACTGTATACATACTGTATGTTAGAGCTTTAAGAAAATTCCGATGCAATGAAATATCGCAATATTTCTTTTTACGATACTGTATCGATATTCTACAGCTCTGTATGATATATTTTCTTTACCAATTCCCAGTCAAATATTCCTGGATTTATTTTTATGTTGATAAAAATAACCCAATATATCGTCGCGCCTGTAGTATCTCAATATATTGCAATACATCGCGTCATTGTCCCTGTATCATGATATGTATCTTTTCCCCAGACAGCCCACACACAAATATAGTTTTAAAAATGTTTGGTACTTGACTTTTACGCTGACACACGACCTGTGATTTACGTCCAATGGATGTTTTTAGGTTGCAGCTAATATTTCACTGGTAATGTGACACTGTAGAGCACGGGTGTAAAACCACTATTCACCAAGGGGGGTGCACATCAGCAGTTCCCTTGAAGGGGCGGCTGTAACTGGAAGACTGTACAGCTCTAACTACTCCATGTTTCTGTAATCGATTATTTATCCAAGTTACTAATGTTGTTCAGTGTTGTGTAAAAAACAGCCGTCACAGAAAACACCGTGACAACCAGGGAACGTTCAGTGGAATCAAAGAACAATACACTCGGGGTTCCTGCTCTGCTCGGTTCCTCGGTGTCGCCTCGTCTCTGTGTGTACGTTAGTGCTGATGTCACAGCGGTCCATCCATTACACCTCGTTAACTCTCCGTCTCATTACATATTGATTCACAGTTGATTATATTTCAGTGAACTGGATCATGAGCCGTACTCCGACACCATGGAGATCCATTATATCAGCCGTGTACTGAAGGCATTTGAAGTACCAATCCAGTATAAGTGTACTTGGCACTTGGTCCATGTATTGCATTTTCAGACTGGGGAGTTGGATCAATACGTAATACTACCAAAAGAGGGAAAAACAGACCATGAAAACAAGTCGGCACATGAAGGAACCATGTGTTTCTGCAAATTGAAGGACTCTGGTACTGGGACTAGTACATTTGATGTTAAAACTAGTTGTAATTTTCAGTCAGGCCGCTGTCCTGAGGTTGAAGCCTCCACAAACACATGGTATTTTAAACTCGAGGTGCATCAGTGAAACAAAAACAGTGTGTGTTTTACCAGAGCCATGACAAGTTAATGGAGGGTGGAATTATTGAATATTCCGGGTACGTCATTCCGCAACTTCTTTACGAGTTCAAAACAATTGTTCACTAATTAATTATTGCAATTAACGGATTAATTTTGACAGATATTGCGACATCCATATTTATATATATATAAATATATATATATATAAACTTATAGAATTGGCAGCTGGACCCAGTGACCCGCTCTTACCAGGATGGTCCGGGGGGGGGGGGGGGTGGGGTTTTTTGGGGGATATATAAATAGAGAGGGGGGGGCGGGCGCCCCGGGCCGCCGTTCTGAGGGGGGGGGGCGGGGGGGGGGGGTCTTGGTTTTATTGGGGAAAGTGATTCATACATTCTCTTACAAGTGGACCAAACAGGACAGCGCCCCCTAGTTACAACAGCTGGACAGTGTAGTTTTAAATGCGAACTGACCAGAAGAACAGAACACGAGGAAGAAGAAAACCCGACCGATCGACTGGACCTCGTTCGGAGAGACTTTAGCTCCAGAACTGAGGTGATTGATGTCGGGCTGTTGGTGCAACGATGATGACATAATGAAGAACTCCTGCAAAACAATACCGCTGTTTTTGGCCCAGAAAGGTTGGAGCCTGGCTCCAGTCTGCTGTGACCGTGTGAGACGTGGAGTTGCGTCATCTTGAGTTGACTAAGTGTTGGACTGAAGTTTGTAGAGTGAGGAGAAGGTTGACATTAAAAAGTCTGTTAGTTACTGTATATGTGTTTGAAATATCATTGGAGGATTCTGGAGGATGACCTTTGACACCGGGTCACAACCTGCTGCTTGGTCTCAGGATTGAGATGCACTTCCTTATTATGGCCAAAGAATATTTTTATACATTTTATGTATGTTCCACTGCATTTGCATTATGAATTTATTTACATCTAAAAGATATTGTTTTTATTGTAAAGTTTATTCAAAGATTTAATGATGAAAATGGTCTTTAATCTTTAAATGATTCAAAACATTTTTGAAACTGGGACATATGTCTTAATACTTGTGTTTTTTTAATCACAGCCATACTGTGTATTTGAATGCAGTATTGCAGTACTCTATAGTGGCAGTACATTCACATGAACTTGTTTTGCCTGTTCCATATTTGGAATTCTGCACCACTGTTTACTTGACCCAGTGTAAGGACACAGTCGAATTCACAATGCAGCGAGTGTGTGTGTGTCTGTGTGTGTGTGTGTGGGTGTGTGTGTGTGTGTGTGTGTGTGAGTCCAGTCCAAACAGTCGTTCAGTTCATCTTGGAGGAAAACACTGTCCAGATATAAAAACATATTCACCTGTTTGTTGCACCTTTAAAAATCCTCAGCCCGTACACCAGGGGTCGCTAGTAACGCTTGATACAAAAAATAAAAAAAAACAGATACACATTCTGTTTATACTATGGTTTATATTAATGCTGTTTTTTCATCATTAAATAACCAATTTATTTTAATTGAAAGACAAAAAAACCAAACATTTATTTCCCGGGCCATAATTGGCCCCCGAGCCAGATATTTAAGACCGCTGCCTAACACAAAGCTCGGTTCAGTTCAGTAAATTCTGTGTTTTTCTTTCTTTCAGAACAGATTTCTGCGTTCACAAAGATGAACCCTGTGACACAGTGGGTAAGTACCAAGAACGCACCACATTATATAGAACAGTAGAACACACACACACACACACACACACACACACACATTTATCATTAAGAGTTACTCAGTCAAGTCAAGTAAACATATGTGAGTAATAGGACAGAACTGTTGATTTCAGCATCTGGTACCGATTAGTTTTTACCATTAGTCATTTTTCTAAAGTGAGTACACAGTGCAGTACCAACTGTGTACAGGAGGGTTGGGAGTCGCCGCTACCATTACCCATCACCACCTGCGTCTTTACCTGCTCTGACGACTGAAATGCAGTTCCTTTAAAATGTTCTGAGAAAGTTTGATGAGAAAAAACAGTTCCAGTTCCAGCGATCCAACACTTTGAAGATGTTCCTTTTACAAAAAAAAAAACAGTGAACTGTTCATCATCGTAATGACTGCAGTCTGTCTGTGTGTGAAGCCATATGGACACACAGTCACACACATTCACACACATTCACACACATTCACACACATTCACACACATTCACACACATTCTGTGAACGACCACACGTTCCATTCTGTGGTTGTCATTACACATAAATACATTAAAGTGTTACACAACGAGACACAGAAACATCTTCACTGTGGTCTGGGCTGACGGTGACACCACAGGGAAGAAGACGATGGGCGTTCTTCTTCATCAAGGTTTTGAAAGTCAACAAAGAGATGATTGATCGATCCAGTTAAAATGGTCACCAAATAATAATAATAGTAATGTTTTTTTGATCTGATTTTTGTATTCTTCCCTTGTGACAGTGGCTTTAAAAATGAAGACTTATTTATTCATAAAAATTCTAAGGGACAGTGGGGGGGGGGAACCGCCCCACAGTTTGACCAAGTACTGCTCTAACTCCTGACTTCTCAGTTGTTTGTAAGAAGCTAATGCTAGTCTATACATACTGTCAGTGGTGGAGTCCGATAATGTCAGTCAACTCATATTAGTGTAACATGAGTAACATGAGAAACAATAGTTATCGGTCTTTCATCCGATAACGTTGTAGTCGAGCGGCCGCTCATGTAATGAGCTAAAAATGTTGGTGAACGTCGGATCGAGGGAGTGAACGCTCTCCAAGTCTTTACTGAGGGGAAATGTTATTCCGAGATAACCGAGAGAACCACGGCCTTTTTTCTGTCTCTGGCGCCGGAGCTCGTTCCCATCATCCGTCAGTCCACCTGATTCATGGACGCTGCTGATAAGGAGGACGAGCAGTCATTTGGAAAAGAATGTGATTCAAAAATGAAGCGCACACACAGGCTTTCTGAGATGACAGTCAAAGGTTAGCCCGGCCCTAAACCGGGATAAATGTTAATGATTTGACACTGGGCCACACAGTGGATGTGGGAAACCACCCGGCAGCTCGGTTGTCAGGAGTCCAGAGTGCTGAGTTTTCTGTTGCTACAAGGATTTCTTCTGCCACTGTGAATCACTCCTCCGAGTCTCTGTTATGTAACGTTGGACCTTTTCCACTCACACTCGTGATTTATGCCCTTAGAAGCTCAGGATTTGGCCACAGGCCATGAAAGCCGGAGAGGTTCGTCTTTGTGCTGCTTTCCCTATTTGACCATATGTTTTTGTGGCTAAATTTAGTTTACCAGGGGAAATACAACCACACACACACACACACACACACTCACACACACTCACAAACACTTTGAAATGTTTTAAAAACTACTGACAGGTTGTTTTTTTAAGCTGTATAAATATAGCTCATTAATATCAGAATACCTTGACCGCCTCTCCTCCGCCCCTCCTGTTCGTTAACAAAACTTGGAAAGATTCAAGTTAGATATGTAACACATTTGAAATGAATTTAGTTTAAAACCAGGTGGAATTCTACTACATTAGTACTTTTTCCATTTCTGTCAGCATTTTTTTTTTTTTTAATTCCCATCCAAACGGGAAAGTCCCCGATGGAAAACAACCCTGATAAGGAGTATTCAGCATCATACAAGCTACAGCAGCTCACTGTCTGTTATTCATTTTTGGCAGCTCACTTTTATATACGTGTGGCAAACACTATTAATACAATAACATTTAAAAAACTAGAAATTTAACATCAATAAAAATGCATTCCTGTTTCCAAAGGTGTTCAAAGGCCCAAACGTGGCCCGGGGCGGGGGGGGGAGGGAGGGGGGCAAACTCAGCACCAACTGACTTTGTTTGATAACATTTTTTTTTAATGCAGCAGTGTAGATGTAGCCTCAACGTCTGTTTGAAGAATACAACCATCATTCTCTGGAGTTGAGCTCGTGTTTTATTTTATCGTACACCTTATATGGAAATGGCTTTTGCCAGACGCTGCACTGAGTTTACGCTGCTACTCCTATAAAACATGAGGTCTGTGAAGTGTTCTGCTGTGAGGAGTACACTCCACTGTGTCGTGTAGTAAAGCAGGCAGAGAGTGCAGTATTTAGAGATATTTGTCCAAGAGGCAATACACAGACATACACAGGAGTAATTCAAAAAGTTCTCAGACAGACGCTACGGTTCAGAAAGTGTCGCGACCCTGGTTTAGATCAATATATAGTTCTCAGACAGACGCTACGGTTCAGAAAGTGTCGGCGACCCTGATATTTACCTCGTTTGTACCAAATTGGGACGTTCTGCGAACAGGTGAATGAGGGTGAACTGACGGAGAGAACTAAGGCTAGGTCCCTAACGCTCATGAGTTTATTTGTTGTTTTTTTTTAGTGGGGCGAAGAAAGTCGTGTCCACATGTACTTCGAGACTGTGTGAAGACCAAACACCTGTAAATTTGTTGCATCCCTGATGCTACTGTAGGTGACGGAGGGCTATAGGGTTTCTTTAGATGTTACCGCTTGTTCTGGTCATGTGACGATGACATCATCATTCTGAAAAAAAAAAGACTTGCACTGTCCTCATGACAACGACATTGTCAGATTTTCACACCTCTGCTATGCTATGACTCCGTAACCTACGTTCCCATGTGGACGTGTCCTCAGTCTAAGAACACCTCGTATAATCCTGTTTCCAAAAATGTATTTTGAAGATTTATTTTTACATTTTCAATATTTTTGACCTTGAAAATCCTCTCCCCCTCACGAAATATTCAGACAACTGTCATCAGGGGAGTCCTGCTGGGAGGGCTGGGTACTGCACCATACTGTATCTTAGTGTTACCTAATACAGCACAACCTCCCAGAAATGATCAGGTTTTATCAGCACCAGCGTTGGGATGAGGTAATGGAAGTAGACGGCAGACAGAGGCAGCGCTGTACGCTCTGAGGAGCAGTGGCAGCTCCTGGCCATGCCTGGCCCTGCACGGCTCTGCCCTGCCA